TTTGCAATACACAAAATTTCCAACAACAAGTCCCTAGACGACCCAATCTCCTAGGCTTCCCCTCTCTGATATATTGGAAAGAGTATTCAACAATCGCAACGTTCTTTGGGCAGTAACGAATCAAAGGTTTTTCTATGTTGCCATTATTTTTTGTTTCTACCTTTTAGGATTCTGGTTTTATTTCGGGTTATTATTTGGTCGAGAGTTATGGCCGCTTCAGGTGAGCGTGAAAATTGTTTTTCTCATAGCAGCGTCTAAAAGTTGTGTGTTCCTTGTCGGTGTAACTGATCGAGTGGTGGATTTCCGTTATTCATGGTTGGCAAAGCGGGTTCAACTTAGTTCTTCTAAAGCTTCAACTTTCCGCCCTCTTCCTAAACCACCGCCTCACTCCGAGAGGAAGTCAATACTCGACTGGATCTCTTTTAATTTTCGATGGCTGGTCAAACTGATGATTCAATCAATTTGTACTTGATCAAATTTCCTTTGTTGGTTTGTGGGCAAACCTATTCTCTCTTTCTGGTGACTGCTAAAGTCGAATCTTTTATTTGTAATTTTTAGCTTTTCTTAGGAGTAGCAAGAAGATGAGCAAGATTGTTAAACTAGACCACATTATTGGACTCCTTTGTTCTCTATGTCTCATCTCATTGTAGTCTTAGACTATTCATTACTTGTTCCTTTGGTATCATTTAATGAATAAATTAGTTTTTTTTTAGAGAAGGGCAGCTTATAAAAGACAACTTATATTCCCTCTGCAGAGGGAATATAAGTTGTCTTTTTAATTTTTTGCTACACTAGTACACCTAGCCACTTAGGATGTTTTCACTTGGATAGCTTTCACTTAGGATGTTTTCACTTCGCTAATTGTAATATACACATAAAGCAGACTTAAACAAACTAAATCAATGAGATTAGTCAAAAATAATAAGTGCAACTAAAAACACCCCCATGTAGGCACACTATGATTTCTTTGTCAATTATGCTTACACCTTTTGGTATTATACATATCATTATCGTTTCATGACTACATGATCTCAACTCGTGCAAGACAATAGTGAAATTTTAGTGAAATGATAATGGAGTACTAAATTATAACGCACCGTGGGTAACATATACTCCCTCTGTGTCAATTTGGATGACATAGTTTTACTTGTCAAAAATTAAGGAAAAAAAGTTACGAAGGGGTAAATTTTACTGTAGAGTACAATGTTTGACACTGTTTCGACATTGTTTTGCACTGTTTTGATCAAGAATTGTTTACCAAATAAGGAAATATGGAAGTGTGACATTCATTTTGAAACATCCAAAAAGAAAAGTGTGTCAAACAAACTGAAACGGAGGGAGCATGAATTTGATGTTAATCCATAAATAAATTTTCATTTGTGAATCATTTTTCATTTAAAAAGTCACTCATTAACAGAAATGTAATACTCCGTATGCAGTTTGTTGTACATGGTTCAGCAAAAATAAAATAGAACTAGTATCTGTATAATATATTAAAACGGAATAGTCTCAAGGAATATGGGCAGGAAGTGGCAGCACTCAATGCCTAAATTAACTATGTAGTACTTGTGTTCTGAATATTCTGGAGCTCTTCTCAGCAACTCCGATGCATCTGCATTAATAAATTAGCACATTGGATGTTGTAATTTGATGTTTAGGCTTCTCGAGATTTATTGTTATCCTTGGGCTACAACGCTCTGCAAAAGTATCACTAAATATCATAAAAAGGAGTCCATTCGTGTTGTGATGCTTCGGATTCTTGACCTATATAAACACGCTCCTGTTGTGGTCTCACATAACTCATGAAGTAGCACTGACTTGATCTTGCAAAAGGTGAAACATGTTTCAGGCACCTGTGTTTGATGCGGCGGCGAAAAATTTGGCCTTTAATGTGATAAACATGGGGGCAAAATGTAAAAATCATAGCTGATGAGTTGGGGAGAAACCTGATTATGGCGGAAGGCTTCGGTCATCGATAGGTCACGGAGAGCGGCAAAGGGTTTCAGTGGCCATTGGGTTTGGTAAGGCGGCAAATCCTTCAACCTCTTATGGGGTCTGCAGGCCAGGAAGCTTATTTTCCAGTTTATTTGGGATAGTCGCGAAAGGTGAATAGTCACCCCCCGTTCATTCGGTTGGTGACTATTCAGGTTTATTAATTTATGTCTGTTATAGGTTTCATCTTAGGATAGTCCAAATATGTATTCCGTTTTTTTTTAATATGATGCAGGGACGTTTCGATTTTTAATAACAAGACGACAAGAAACAAGCATTTCAATCACCCGTTTGGAAATGGTAAAGCTAAAGGATAAGAAGGGGAGAAGCCATATTTCTGTTTGTAATCTCAGGTTATAAATTATGCGTAGTAAGTGTTAGTTGCTTAACTTGATTGAAAATTTTGAGATTTACTGATTATCATTTTGGCTACTTTGTGAATCAAGAAATATTTGGTTTTTGTTCCTAGAGTAGTTAGAAGCATGCTATATATATATATATATATATATATATATATATATATAGAATTTTATTCATGTCCGGAATTCCGGACAGGAACCGCCGTCCGGACGGTGGCGTTTGGCCGCCTTCCCGGTGACATTTTTTGATGAAATTTTTATGGCATGTTCTCCATCAAGTCTAGTTTATCCATAAAACAATTCAGCCAAAAACTCAATCGGGAAGGTCGTCAAATGATTTTTGCAAGTTAACTGGTCCGGAAAATACATATTCCGGACGAGTTAACTTGCAAAAATCATTTGACGACCTTCCCGAATGAGTTTTTGGCTGAATTTTTTTGTGGATAAACTAGACTTGATGAAGAACATGTCATAAAAATTTCATCAAAAAATTCCACCCGGAAGGCGGCCAAACGCCGCCGTCCGGACGGCGGTTCCGGTCAGGAATTCCTGACCGGAAGAGTGCTCTATATATATATATATATATATATATATATATATATATATATATATATATATAGAAGGCAGTAGTTTGAAAACTACTTTGTGGATTAACAATTAAGATGTGGTATATGTATCGAAATATTTCGTTTATGGATTATAAACATTTGTGTGTATATACACTAACTTAACAGTTAACACTACTAAAGCTTTGGCGCTGAAAAAAGGAATAAGAAAAAAAAGGAAGATATGAATAACTAAATTGAGCATTTCATTTTTCAAATACTTCAAATATATCGAGTGGAACTCAACTTCGAGTAGGATTTTGAAACTGCAACGAACAATTTTATCGAAAGTACTATGAGTTGCTTGATGGACTGGTCATCACCATTTGGGGAAGAAAATTTCTGGTTCTTTATAAGTCCTTTTTCCAGCCATCCATGAGACCACATACAACTCGATCATGTAGTGTGGTATGAATTATAAATATGAGGAAGGGTCTGTAACTCTTTATGGTAACATTATTCTTAATGGTGTGTCTCTGGTTCTACTATGTTCTCCTTGGCATATTCTAGCAAATGTGGATTTTCAAAGGGGAGTATGAGGAGCCCGGCCCATAAGTTGTCCACACTGGGTGCTTCTAAGATGCTTCTGCTATTACACTAGCTGTGGGGGAGCGAGACAACTTTTTCTACATCTTCTCCCATATACGTGTTAGACGACGTTTTATTACTACCAAGTGTTCGAACTTTGTAGATTTCATTGAGAGAATTTGAATTTCGTAGTTTGTGAGCGTTTCATCAATTGATTGTGATGTGTCTTTTCTCTTTCCAATTTCTAATTATAAGGCTCTTAATCATCAAACGGACTTCTATTCTCCGTCTTATTATTGCAAGGGAAACTTCGTGATACTCTGTTTTGGAAAATTATTGGAAAAAGTTGATGATCTAGATCAAGGAAGGCTATGTGTTTTTGTTATATATATGTAGTGATGGATGCATGTAAAGTTTGTATTTTTTAGTAAACCGTTTGTATTTTTTTTCAACTATCGACTTAGAATATTATCTTTTAAAAATGTTTATATATTACTAAAATTTGGTATGTGAATTGATATTATTTTTTATTTTATTTAGTGTTTTTTTAACCAAAAGGAAATTTTATTCAAGAGAAGAAAGTACACAAATTGAAGATAAAAAGAAAAGGAAAGTAGGAAGTAGCGCGCGTAATAAAGAAATAAAAACTCAACTCAAAGAATAACATTCCCTCCCTAGAAAATTAGAAAATCGCGTGCCCTCCATCAAATCTTCAAAGCTCCATCCGTGTTTATTATATTTTATTATTTAGTCTATACACGTCAATGGTCTAATATTATTTTACCTAATCATATATTATCAAGTTTCCACAGGTAGAAGTATCACGAGAAAATTAGATTTTGGACTAGACAGACAGCTTTCTAACATATGTAGAATTATAAACAAGAGCCAAATACAACCTTTATCATATTTCTTTGAAAATCTATTTCTCCTCTTCCACATGTTTTGATGTACTTTCAACTTTCAATATATTCATCTTTTATTTCTTACAACACACATACGGTCTATATGATGGGATTTTCTCAATTAGTTATTTCTTACAACACATGATCTATATTGACAAACTTCATATTAAATTAAGACATATGTGGTGTTTCAATAAACTATTACTCCGTATTTAATATGAAAATTAATTCGATCCCCCGACCCTGTCCCGTGGGATGCACGGGTTCTATACTAGTTGAAAATAAAAAGGCCAAAAGTAAGGCTCATTTTGAATTAGAATGTGCATGCGCGGAGTACGTACGTAAGAGACGGAGAGGAAGACAAGAGTCATGGAAGCCAAATTAAACCACTTCCCATCCATCCATCCGCTCATTCCATTCCATCACTTGATCATTAGCGCAGCCAGGCAGGTAGGGTTTTCCATCGCCTGGCCAGGAGTGTCTCTCTACTCTATATGCATGGCCGCCCAATCTTGTCTACCTACCTTACCTTTCCATCTCCGATCCAACTAATTATTAATTAATTATATATAATCACCAATTAAATACTTACCTTTTAAATTTTCCGCATCCATCATCACACCTATAAATTCCAGTAATACTATCCCAATCCCACTATAACTTCGATCAATCCCCCATAAGCTAAAATATCAATACAAAAAGAAATAAAGAGAGGAGTAATAATATAATTAAGTAACACATCATCGACCCCCACCCAAAAACCTATATATCACTGATCATTTAGGAGGCTTAGTTATTTATTGTTGATATATATACCATTATTATTATTATTATTAATTAGTACGAGTTGCTGATCGGGTACTACTATATATATTTATTATTACCATCAGATCATCATATGGATGTTGGTGATTAAGAGTCGTCGTCGGCCGGTTTAATTAGACCATAAATATCCATCTTTGGTTTATTAATATTAGTATGTATAGGATACGACGCACTATACTATAAGAGATATATAGATCATATCAGACGTAGTATATATAGTTACGTATACGCCAGTTTAGCAGCTAGAGAGCGACGACGTATATATATAGCAGGCAAGGCAAGGCAGGTCGAATGGCGGCGGCGGACCGGATTACGTTGGAAGATATCAAAAACGAGAATGTCGATCTTGTATGTCGTCGCCACCTAACCCTCCATCTCTTCTTCATCTTCATATATATGATCCATCTTTTGTTTATTTTAATTTGTTCATTCATTTAACACATGCATCATACTCTAATTTCATTCTTTTATCAGATCCCCACGTCTTTAATATAATAGTGATTCCTTTTCCATTATATTCTTCTGTACCATATTTACTTACACTCATATAGAGTATTTCTCATACAAATTTGGACTAGAAAGATATATAGTCCAAATTCTAAAATTGGATCAAATATGGAGTATCTTTTCTTCCGAAAATATGACTTATTGAGTCATATTAAAAGAATAAGTCAATGAAAAGTTCTCAAAATAGGAGTGAATGAGACATATTTTTAGAAATAAAATAACGGTACTCCTACTTATGAACGTTTCCCTTGTTTTTATCATATTCAAGAAATTATCTCTAGCTATTTCGTAATCCATGCCATGTCTAAGAATTGCATGATTAGATATATAGCCACATTCTTGTATTTCAAATAGAGTTTACGTGGAAAACATATAGGGTACGCTTCTAATGAAAATCATGCTTATGGTGAAAACGTGAGAACGAGCACTTTTAATTCAATTTGATGCACTATGCGACTCATTTATTGCACTTTTTAGACATTGTTTAGAACATGACAACATCAAATTTAATACGGTAGCAATTTCATAAATATTTCGTCAACACGAAAAAGTATAAGGTACAAACGTTATATCATCACATTGAGTAAAAATTGATGTTCTCACGATAAGCATGCTTCTCATTAGAAACACACCCTATATATAATTTGTAATTAGCTAGGCTTATAAAACTTGAAAAGGTTTATATTAGTGAACTTAATTATTTATAGCTTTATATTACATACAAAATTTTTGTTGTTTAAAAAATGTGTAGACAATTTGTATCGAGCAATACTATTGTTAAAAATAATTGATGATAAAATTATTTGGAACATCCACAACTTATGCACTAGACCCGCATCTGCTAAAAGGCTTTAGAATTTGAATTTGGGATAGACTGCAAAAGAAATTGTGAATTTGGGTAGACTTGTGCCCAATGTAGTAAAGTTTAAGAACGGAGTAAAATGATTTATGCTACCGTTATTCTAAGAACGGAGTAGTTTTTTTAGTATGTTTGTTACTGACTATAATAATATTGTACTTTTTTTTTTTTTACTTTTTAGTTCCAAACTAGTAGTGGGTTTGCACTTTTAAGAGATTAGATTATTAACTTCTACATTCAATTAATATAGAGAAGAATTAATAAGCTAAGGACATATTAGTATTTGATCCTCACTCATCTTTACATCTTAGCATTGTCTTGAATCTTGATATACGGAGTATATGAAACACTCTGAGACAACATTATAATCTCCTAACGGCTAACAACATAGGGAGTACTTTGATCCAAAGCTTTTCACAAACACCATGTAAATTTTAGAAGGCTGCTTTAAAGTGTAGCATAACCAAATATGTACAGGACTTGTAACATTTGGATTACATTAAATTGTTCTACGTCATAGGATTATATGAATGTATAACTAAAGAAATCAAATGACGTTTCCTGTATTATACATTGATTGCATTATTGTGTCACCCTACTGAGTTTGGATGCAAAAAAACAGGAACGTATACCAGTGGAGGAGGTATATCAGCATCTGCGTTGTACCAAAGACGGGTTATCAACAGAGGAAGCTGAACATAGGCTTCAAGTCTTTGGGCCAAACAAGCTTGAAGAGAAAGAGGCATGCAACTATATATGATCTATACACACACACATCACATAGTTCCCCTTGTTTTTTTCTTCTCATTGTCTAGTTTAATGTGGTGCTAAGTTTCGATCGACATTCTTACCAATGAAAAACAGGAAAGCAAGCTGCTGAAGTTCTTGGGGTTCATGTGGAACCCACTGTCGTGGGTGATGGAAATGGCTGCTCTCATTGCGATTGGCCTGGCAAATGGAGGGGTATACTACTTGTTTAGTACTATACTTAGTACTCAAATGAGAACTTGAATAATTTGTTGATATGGGCTCTTTAGAATTGCTCATTAAGTATGATGAATGGGTTGAATATTTTCAGGGGAAGCCACCAGATTGGCAAGACTTCATAGGAATAGTGGTTTTACTGATCATCAACTCCACTGTCAGCTTCATTGAAGAAAACAATGCTGGCAATGCTGCTGCTGCTCTCATGGCTGGTCTTGCCCCCAAAACCAAGGTATATATCTAACTCATCATCACATTCATAAAAAAAATCATCAAAAATAACTAATTCCCTAGCTATTGGATAAAATGTGGAACAAGTATTTAACTTTGGAGAAAATATATTGCCCATTGTCAAGTGACAATGACCAACTACTGGTGCAGTTACCAACATGCAAATTTAAGGAAAGAAATATTTTTCGTTTCTCTTATACAGGGGAGCTCAGTGATGCTTGTGTGCCACCAATTTCTACAATACATCTATATAACAAATTTTCTCTGCACAGAAAAGATCTCTGTTCATCATAAGATTTTGTTTGTAGTATTTGTCTGGGTTTTTGTGCCTGAGCATAGGCAATTACACTACAAATAAAATTGGAGACAAAAGCTTATCTTGTTTACCATTTTCATGGATTTCTGATGATGGGGTTTTTTTTGGCATGAGTGAAGGTACTGAGAGATGGGAAGTGGTGTGAACAAGATGCAGCCATTCTGGTTCCAGGAGACGTGATAAGCATCAAGTTGGGAGATATTGTGCCGGCGGATGCCCGTCTTCTCGAAGGGGATCCTCTCAAGATTGACCAATCCGCGCTCACCGGTGAATCCCTGCCCGTCACCAGAAACCCAGGAGATGAGGTCTTTTCCGGTTCCACCTGTAAACAGGGCGAGATCGAGGCGGTGGTTATTGCCACCGGCCTCCACACCTTCTTCGGCAAAGCCGCTCATCTCGTAGACAGTACCAACCAAGTTGGTCACTTCCAGAAGGTCCTGACCTCCATTGGCAACTTCTGCATCTGCACCATCGCTTTGGGGATCGTCGTCGAGATCGTGGTGATGTTCCCCATCCAGCACCGGAGATACAGGGACGGAATCGACAATCTGCTGGTTCTACTCATCGGAGGTATCCCGATAGCCATGCCGACCGTCCTGTCAGTGACCATGGCAATTGGGTCCCACCGCCTCTCCCAGCAAGGCGCCATCACCAAGCGGATGACCGCAATCGAGGAAATGGCGGGAATGGATGTTCTCTGCAGTGACAAAACCGGAACCCTGACCCTCAACAAACTCACGGTTGATAAAAATCTGGTGGAGGTTTTTGCTAAGGATATGGACAAAGAAACCTTAGTGCTTCAGGCGGCCAGGGCTTCGAGGGTGGAGAATCAGGACGCCATTGATGCTTGCATCGTTGGCATGCTAGCTGATCCTAAGGAGGCTAGGGCTGGGATTGAGGAGGTTCATTTCCTTCCTTTTAATCCCGTGGAGAAGCGCACAGCGATCACTTTCATAGACTCCAAAGGGAATTGGCATAGGGTCAGTAAAGGTGCACCAGAGCAGGTAAATAATATGATGTATTCACCTATGGCAATCTTAAATAAACAAAAAACAAGTTCATCTATCTATAATCTATTACGTTTGAAATTTGCTAAAATGCTCAAGTATCTACCAGATTGTGGAACTTTGTGAGCTGAAAGGTGATGTAAAGAACAAAGCTCATAGCATTATTGACAAGTTTGCTGAACGTGGTCTTCGCTCTCTTGCTGTCTGTCAACAGGTAGGTAATTCAGAAACATTTGTTTTTTTCCATTTTGGCTCTGAGGGTCCATTTGGAACTTAGAAAATAGCAAGGAAAATAGATAGAAAATTTGTAAGGGAACATAATTTTGGAAAAAAGGAGGTTTAAACTCAATAAATCAGTTCTGGATATTTGTTCAAACTCATTCTTTATATGAAGTACATATTTTGTTTGTTATAAACATACTAAGAAGTACAACCGTATATAAAATTTGAAGAAACTTTACGCGCATTCGATTTTCAGAGGAAAACAAAAAATATATATAAAAGAACTGTTTTCCTTGACGTTTTGGTTCCCTTCCCTTACATTCCCACAATTTTTTGCATTCCAAACATAGCCTTGGGATTTCTTATGTATAATGGTACTGAATATCTTGGAGGCTGATCTTTCTTTGTGTGTGAATACAGACGGTACCAGAAAAGACCAAGGAAGGAAAGGGAGGACCCTGGATCTTTGTTGGTCTATTACCTCTATTTGATCCACCAAGACACGACAGCGGGGAGACAATCAAGCGCGCCCTAGACCTCGGTGTGAACGTTAAGATGATTACTGGTGATCAGCTAGCTATTGCTAAGGAGACTGGTCGACGACTAGGCATGGGGACCAACATGTACCCTTCTTCCTCTCTTCTTGGGCAACACAAGGACGCCAGCATAGCCACCCTCCCTGTTGAAGAGCTCATTGAGAAAGCTGATGGCTTTGCTGGAGTTTTTCCAGGTAAAATTCACTTAAGATCCCTTTGGTAGCTGTTTTTGGCTCATTCTGCTTCAGTAATCAGAGAAGAACAATAAGTAATGATAAAGAGCTCATTAGGTACCACTGTAGCAGTGGATTTGGCTCAGATTTTGATAAATATTGATGAAGTTGCTGACTTATGAAAAAAGTATTTAAAGAACTCATGGACAAAAAGACACTGCATTCTCACTATTCACACTGAAAGATATTACCATGGTGATGGGTGTGTAAGATCGAATATCGGGTGGTTAAAAGTCAAATGTTTGTCCATTACTTTCATTTTAGTCATGTATCTGTCATAGTTTTATTTCTGTCCATTACTCATAGACAAAAATATGACTATGTGGTCACTGCCATGTACTATTGAACATTAGTAACAGTCACTCACTAAGGCCATTCTATATTAAAAGTAATATTTTTGCCCATATTTGTATCACAATCATATGTTTTTCATTTTTTTGTACTTTACTAATAAACAAATGACTTGAGCTGAATGTTGCACTTATGTAGAGCACAAGTATGAGATTGTGAAAAAGCTACAAGAGAGAAAGCACATATGTGGGATGACAGGAGATGGTGTAAACGATGCTCCAGCTTTGAAGAAAGCAGATATAGGCATTGCAGTGGCAGATGCAACAGATGCTGCACGGAGTGCCTCTGACATTGTCCTCACAGAGCCTGGCCTAAGTGTCATTATTAGCGCAGTCTTAACCAGTAGGGCAATTTTCCAGAGGATGAAAAATTACACGATTTATGCAGTTTCCATAACTGTCCGTATCGTCCTTGGTTTCATGCTCATTGCCCTCATCTGGGAATTTGACTTTTCTCCCTTTATGGTCCTCATCATTGCCATTCTCAATGATGGAACCATCATGACGATCTCAAAAGACAAAGTGAAGCCGTCCCCAATGCCTGACTCCTGGAAACTCAGAGAGATTTTCACCACTGGTATCGTTCTTGGCACATACTTGGCAGTCATGACAGTAATCTTCTTCTGGGCTGCTCACCAGTCAGATTTCTTCACAGTAAGAAACCAATCATTCACTTACCTTTATTACATTCTGCTCTTTTGTTCTATATTGTTTGTTTAGGTGTCATCTCAACTCTCACATAAAAAACCCAAGGAAAGATAATCTGTATCAGATTTGTTTGGTTCAGAGATTTTAGAGGGAAGGGGGGAGATGATTGATTTTTTCATTTGCTAACTTATCTCTGTTTGTTTGTTATATATTAAAATTCATTATATGATGTAGACTGTGTATTTCTATATGATTTTTTAATCGAAGGATCAAAAGTAAATAAATGTCACCCCTTCCGCTCCCTCCTCTCCGAAATTTCCCAACCCAACAAGCTCTTAGGGTGATATTCACAAATAAAGTCATGCAGGCTTGGCCCAAAATGAAGCATATCATACTCATGCTAGAGTTAAGTTACTATTGCATTCTTAATTCTAAGACATGTGTGCTACGTGTTGCAGGACAACTTTCATGTGAGATCAATCAGGGATAGTTACCCTGAGCTTAATTCAGCTCTATATCTTCAAGTGAGCATTGTGAGCCAAGCACTTATCTTTGTCACTCGGTCAAGAAGTTGGTCTTATGTAGAACGCCCCGGTCTATTGCTAGTGGCTGCTTTTCTAGTAGCACAGCTGGTAAGTTAGCGTTGTGTTTTTTTCTTTATTTCTTTCTATGTGTTGCTCCTGCAATTCTACTAAACCAACTCTATGTTTCTGCTTTGTGTAAACAAGATTGCTACTTTGATTGCCGTATATGCAAACTGGGGATTTGCTAATATCCATGGCATTGGCTGGGGGTGGGCTGGTGTGATCTGGATCTACAGCATTATTTTCTACATCCCGCTAGATATCTTGAAGTTCATCATTAGATATGGACAGACAGGCAAGGCTTGGGACAATTTGCTCAACAGAAAGGTAATTCAACAAAATCTAGGATTAGTGTACTGTTTCCAAAGGAATAATTGTGGTTACTTGTTTCCAAGGAATAATTGTTTTTACTTATTAAGAAGTGTTTGGTAGGAAAATGGGAAAATATGTTTTTAATAGTTAAAAGCACTTTTAGTGCTTAGAAATCGGCAGTTAGTTGCTTTAAGAAAGAGGAGTGCATAAATGAGAAAGAACTTGTGATAACAACCCTTATATCATAAGGAATCCAAAAAAGGCTCTAAGGTGTTCTTCACCCCTTCTATGTATGTTATGTGTCCTGATTTTTTCTTTGTTAAACATTGCAGACTGCTTTCACAAATAAGAAGGATTACGGGAGAGGAGAAAGGGAAGCGCAGTGGGCCATGGACCAGCGCACATTGCATGGACTTCAGTCATCAGATGCTTCTCAGATTTACAGTGACAAAAACCATACAGAACTGTCTGAGATTGCAGAACAGGCCAAAAGACGTGCTGAAGTTGCAAGGTAAAAAATGTCTAGAAAGAAAAAATCATCATATTAACTTTTAGTAAGAATAATTGGTTTTTTAGTATGCAGACTGGTAAGAATAATTTTACGGTTACTGGAACAGGTTGAGGGAGCTTCATACATTGAAGGGGCATGTTGAATCGGTGGTGAAGCTCAAGGGTCTTGACATTGAAACAATCCAGCAACACTACACTGTTTGAGGATGGATGGAGATTTGAGGATATCAACAAGTGGGAAGCCCATTTTTTCCATCCACTATTTTTTGACACATTCTTTATCCACAGCTGATAATGACGAAGGGGGTTGACAATAAAATCCAACAGAGAATGTTGGGACTGGGTTTTTTCTAAAGCATTTAGAGAGTAGGTTGTAGAAGATTCATTAAAAAACTCATGTCTAAGATTCTCTCAAACAATTATCTTTTCTTCCCTGCTAATAAATGGATTCATTTGATCAAATGTCCTTGCAATATTGGTATTCTTTAGTAAATGTAAATGTACTAAAGTTAAATATCCAGTGTAAATGTAAAATTTGGAGCTCACAAACTCTTGTCTCAAAAAAGCGTCATGCTTGGAGTAAGGTGCAGTTATTAAATTTTGAAAAATTTGGTCAACTCAACTATGGTACAAGCTCTTAGAAGATACGACTTATGAATGACCACATATACTCTTTTTTTAACCACATATACTCTTATAACCTAATATCATGATGGCTTGGACGTCTTGGAGTAATGCTAGAACCGTTTGCAGCACTTATATATAGTTATATACCTTGATGATATAATACTCCGTATCGTCAAGGTTTGGAGTACTGTACTAAAACTGTTGGCAGCTTCTCTTGACACGAATTTTTACTTGAAATTAAAGCTCGCTTTTAAAACTAGACTAGATTCTTTTTTGAGAATGTATCACAGTTAATATTAAAATTATTAGACTATATTGATAGTATTTAAAGAAAAGTGTTAAGCTTTAATCTTATTTATGAAAATTTCCCTTTTTTGTGACAACTGTTTTTAAACCCGACTCTTATTGAGGTGGATGGAGTATGGTAGAATCCATGCCTTAGTTCTGCAAGTCTTTTGATGATTTTCTTTCATTACTAATATCCTCACTACTGCCTGTGATTATTATCCCTGTGTGCGAGTATGTAAAGCAACAAACAAGAAGTAACCATATTCATTGTTTTCATCATCTCTAATGTAATATGTACAGATGTATATATCAACCAGTCAGTAAAAACGATGATAGAAAAGCCTCTAGCCTTGTGAACAAGTGAACACTTTCGCAAAATTTACTATAAGTAGGAAAAACGACTGGCACTTTTAGCATAAGAAACTGAGGAGGGAATGCAGGAGTAGCTATAAGTTGGTGGTGGGTAGAGCAGAGTCCACTACCCTAAGGGACCCACCTAGCTCATTTGGTACAAGGGGAATGAAGGAGTGTAGTACATCCGTTATTAGCGGTCTATAGCTTGGTTCTGGTTGCACACATAACACCGCCACAGCAGCAACCTATACCAAAAGGATCCACTTAATAATGCAAATTATTGCAGACAACAGCAAAAGTAATAATATAAATAATGAAAATTAATTTACTGGATGAATTCTTGGTTAATGATCGTTGGTAACAAACCTGGTACAAGTGCTTCACGTCCATGGTGTTCTTTATAACAGGATCAACAATACTCGGAAGCTTTGATCGGTCAGTAAGCTGGGGCATTGCCTGCATATGATGCACAATTAAAGGGAAATGAATCTTAAAGCCCCTTTGCTAGAATATGTTTTTCTTGACCTGATTTCCCTTACCCATGTAACTAATGATTGATACTTTGTTTCTCCGACTTTCTCTATGGGCATTTTCCCCAACAAAAGCTCTAGAAGAATAATGCCAAAGGCATACACATCGGTCTTATCACTTATCTTACCTGCCAGTAAAGAACTCCTGTAAGTTTTCATGGGAAGCACAAGAAGAGAATGAAGTCTATCGTCTTTTATTAGCATATGCACCATTTTGGAAGGATAAAAGATCAAACCGTTTTAATAAATATCAATATTTCTTACAACACAAATTATCAAGTCAGCCACAATCTTCCTTTTTACTCTGCCAAAAAAATGTAAACTTTCTCATTTTAACACCGTGAAGCTTTTATTTTTCAAAATTTCCATTCATACCATATAACAAGTTCTACGGATTTCACATAGAGAAGTGAACATGGAAAGTAAATACTCCGTACGTTTTATTTGTTTTCTAAATAAAATTGCATGAAAGACATGTACTTCCTAAATTGTGAGATGGAGGAAGTGATTAGAAGAACAATTAGTTTTAGATCTTACGCGGTATTGGGAAAAAGGATGTGATTGGAAAAGATGTTTCACAATTTCATTAAACTAAATTTTAAGGAAGGGATGGAACATCTACTTACCGTCTAAGAGATATTCTGGTGCAACATAACCCTGTGATCCTGAAATCTTGGCAATGCTCTTGTTTATGTTTCCACCACTTGCACACAGGCCGAAATCAGAAATCTAGATTATGAAAGAAAAAAGTAAGTGGTCTTCCATTCACAAATACTTTAGTTTACTTTGAAAAAAGGACATCAGATAATTTTCTCTTTGACTGCATATACCTTAGCATTAAAGTTGTTATCAAGAAGTATCTTGGACGATTTGAGATTCCTATGGATCACACTTGGAAGGCAATGCTCGTGAAGGTATTCCAGTCCTCTGCTCAACCATCAATCAATGTTTATTATGATCTTTCAACCGAAAAGAAGACACATGATACAAAGGTAAGTAGAAGAATATATAATTAATTCTACCTTGCAACGTCTAAAGCAATTTTCATCCGTAGAGGCCAACTTAAAGCTGATCCATGAGGCGGTCCTAAAGTTCGTAGAGAAAATAAAGTTAGAGATATGTTAACATAATCCATTACCCCCTACATCTTCTGAATTGAACATAAATAAGAAGTATGTATACCATGCAATTGAAATTCCAAAGAACTGTTGTGCATCATTTCATACACCAAGAGATGCACATCACCATCAACAGAGTACCCTAACAGAGAAACTATGTTTTGATGCTGAACCTTACTCAACAAATCTAGCTCATTCTGCAATTTAGAATGGTTCTTAGCTATATATATTAGAGAGTGAGAAAATATAGGTTCTCCCAAAAGATTTCAAAAATAGAACTTATGAACAAAAATATGAGTGCATGGTCACAACAATCATTCCCAAAAGTCATGGGAACTACAGAGTAAAATTGTAACCAGTCACTAGACTACTAGAGTAACTATATAAACACTGTGTACTAAAAGTCGCATTTTGCCCAATTTTTTTTATATTAGTCATAAATTTGTCATTATTTTCAGCTACTTGTACCTCAAATTCTTTCTTATTAGCATCTTGTTCACGACCACAAGAAAGTCTCTTAACAGCTGCCTCAAAGTCATTGCCAAATCTTGCTTTATACACACGCCCTAATCTCCCTTCACCCAAAACATTTTCCTCCGCGAAGTTGTTCGTAGCAGCTAGTAACATAGGGTATTCAATTAGATCAACTAAGCCCTTCCTACCACCATTGACTTTAAAAGGTATCATCTTTTTGTCGTTTACTTGAAAACCTACAAATAAGCATTTTTTTACATCTCAGTAATGGTGTATTGATGAATTTTCTTCTTGTCTTCTTGAAATATGACTAGACAGATAAAGAACCTGCATTATGCTTCCATCTTTCATTGAATTTCTTCAATTTAGTCAGCCTGTTAACCCAAAAACCAGATAATAACAGCACAATTCCACCAAGAATGGATGAGGAAACAATGAGAGCAATTAGAACTTTCTTCTTCAAGGTTTGGTGCTGGATTGCTCTGACATCTGCTGCCCCTATCGTCAAGAAGATGAAAGGATCACTGGAAAATAATGAATAGATGACTGAGAATACTGTAATCTTTGCATAGCCCCTCAAAAGAAAGACCCATCAAGATAAGGGAAGTGTATGGCATTTGTCCAAAAAAAGAAAGGGATACCGGAACTAAATAAAATCAAGAAAAGGAAACACACTATATATGAGTCTGCACTAAAAAATCAACTCAGAAGTCATGAAAACCCATCAATGTTCATATGCAGAATAACAATAACTAATGGAGTGGTGTACCAAGAAGAAATGATTCAAAACAAATCTGAAAACAAAGAGAGGTCCACAACCCATCACCCATTGTACACCAAGCATTACCAAGTTACCTGGAGAAAGGGCAGTTGAGTTTGACGAAAGCTGAAAGATGGGTTCTTTCTCACTTGGAAGAACTGGGTGAGGAACAGGTGATTCTACTTGTACAGGAACTGAAGAAGACAATGTGGAGCTAAAAAACCCAATTATTATTACAACAAATAGGATCAGCAGCTTCAACATCTTTTTGAAGTTTCAACAAAAGACAGAAAGGGAATGGGGAAGGCTCCTGGTTTGGAGCTTGTGATGATTGATCTGGAAGTGAAATGATTTGAGGATGCTTGGCTATTGGGTTCTTTTGAAAATAATTTAATGTTGATGAAACATTAGTATGGCCATTTAGATATGTGTGTCTGAGTGAGTGCCTCTCTGTCTCTCTGCATCTCAGTTTTCAGTTTTGTTTTGGGAAAAAGAAAAAGGTACTCCGCGTATTTGTTATTTCCCTTACGTTTTATTTTAGAAAAAAAGACAGGAGAGCTAGAGGACGAGAGGATCTCGGTATTTTAAAATTTTATTACCGCAAAACTGTAAAAAGTTGTCCCTTTTGACCAACATTCGTACCATTCCCGAATTGAAATGTGAGATCTGGACTGGTTTGTTGACCCTAGAGGTGAAATAATTGTTTTTTATTAATATTTGATTAAAATAATTATGAGCATATCGGCATGATCACTTAAATCTGAAAAATGAACATAAAACTAGTTCCTAGAAATTACTGTAATAATCTATTTTAAGAGGTCACATTTTTATTATCTTTACTTTAAGTAGAAATATGTCATTATTTCTTTATTACTCCCTCCGTCCCTAAATTATCTTCAAACTTTCCTTTTTGGTCCGTCCCTAAATTATCTCTTCTTTCCCTTTTTGGCAAAGAATTTGTGGTTCACAACAATTCTTACACATTTCTCTCTCCTCTGCACAACTCTCCACCACACAAAACCTACTATCTTAATCCCCGTGCCGGGTCAAAATGGGGGGTAAATTAGGGACGGAGGGAGTAAGTATTTGGAGTTAACAAGTTAGGGGAGGAGGATCTCTCCAGGCTTATCATGCTTATGTGGAGTGTCTGGAAAGCTAGGAACGCAGCTGTGTGGAAGGCAGAAGCGTTTTCTCCAGGAGTTGTGTACCGAGTGGCAGAATCCATGCTAACAAGCTGGAGAGCAGCCCGGAAAGATGACAATCAAGCAATGAGGGCGAATCCGACCATATCCAAATGGAAGAAACCTGAGATTAATTGTGTTAAAATTAATGTTGATGCAGCCAATGATTCCAGGTTTAGGCGTTGGGCTTGGGGATGGCTATGTAGAGACAATGAAGGCAATTTTATTA